ACTCCCCTTTTATAATTGAGAAAACAGAGCCCAGGAGGTTACATAATCTGCCCAGCCACTCTTGTCGGGGACAGATCCCTACACTGATCTTTTTTTGTGTGTTAGCACCAATTCATAATGATAATTATTTTAGGAGGGAAAAGTAGTTTGCAAATAGTGATTGCATATAGTGAGGGAGAACATAGTGTTTGTTCTTAAGTGATCCACCCCAGAACCTTGTTGAGAGGACAGCCAGACTTTCAGGGCCGCCTGGAGCCCAGCTTTGGGCTGGACAACTTCCTACTTGAGTCCTCAAATCTTCATATGATTTGAGGACTCAGGTTTACTTCAAAAGGGAGGGGGGAAAAATTAAGTAGGATATGTCCTTTAAAATACGCCGAGCAAAGACACTGCTGCGCAAAGAGCTAGAACCAGAAGTTAAATATTAGGAAGTGGAATAAAAGTCTAATATGCAAACAGTACCGGATCCTAGAACTATTGAAAGGTGAATTTATTTGGTTTACTTCCTCGCCTAGACATTGTAGACAGGAAAAGGAAGAGGGAGTTGCTCTTTTGTAGATAATGCTCCTTGAGTGCTACCCTGGCATTTCTAAAGTCATCTGTGTCAGAAGGTGGCAGCTTTTCTTGAAACTGAGCGTCAGGTTCAATTTCAGTGTGGTATTGGATGGTTTAGGAATTGCGTCCTTTGTGTGTCTGAGTGAAATAGACTCATTGGTTTAAAAAAATATATGTTCAAATAATGCAAAAAAGTACCAAGGTGTCAGAATCTCCCGGCTTTGCACTCACAGGCTCTCTAGCTGTTGTTTTCAACCTTGGCTGCACATTAGAATTTCTTGGGGAATTTTTGTTGTTGTTTTGCGGAGGAAATTTTTTAAATCTTGCGGGTTGGGGTACAGATTCCGATTTAATTGGTCTGGAGTGGGTCCAGGGCTTTAGTATTTTTTGTTGTTGTTTTGAAGCCCAGAAGGAAGCTTTCATATTACTAAATAAAAGAGGCTACATTATTAGCTTTCTAGTTGTGTTATTAAATAGTTTACTGTGTGTTCTCTTTGCCTAGAAGCTAGAGGGGAAATTCATTTCTCCTTCATATAATATAATATAAACGGCTCAGTTAGTCTCCATGAAACATTTTGCTTTAACTTTATCTTGCAATAGTTTACTTTGTTTTTCTCCAAATTTGGCAAACTGAAATTTAGAATTTCCATGTCTTGGTGGACTCCTAAGAGCATCTAAGAAAGTGGGGAGCTCTAAGCCCAGGGAACACTGAGCAGTTGGGTCTTTCTGCCCTTCTGACTGAGACTTACCCTCTCTCCTTACCTGCCCCAAGTCTGCTGTGGAAACTAGAAGGAGATTCAGAACTCCAAACAAAGTGATGTAAGAGGGGGCTTCTCAGACTTTAATTAAAGGGCGTGTAAATTCCCCACGGACCCTGCTGGCCCTCTCATCCTGACCACTAGGTTGGGTTCTGCAGGCCTCATGCTGCTCATACCACGCTCGGAGTTGAATAGCATGGCCGAGGAAAGTTTGGACTTTGGAATCACACAAATTGGGTTCAAAACAGTTCACGACATTTCACAGAAAAACACTGTGCCCACAGGCAGTTATGTAATCCTTGTGAGCCTTAATTTCTTCATCTGTAAAATGGAGAAAATACTTAGCTGATGAGATTGTCTTATGAAAACAGAAGATATGTGGAAACTGCTAAAATCAGTGCCTGTCACATCGTAGCACTTGATGAATGTAAGTAAGGTCCTCACACAGTCTTTTTACACACTGGGTGTGAATGGTGTCGACGGAGTCCTCATGTGTAGTAGAGGCACCTGTGCAAAAGGGGATCTGTGTGTGTTTGTATGCGTGCGCATGCATGCCTATCTGTGTATACACAAAGTGAGGGGCCAGAGACCCCAGAATGCAGGCATTTGAGCAGCACTCCTGTGAAGCCACCATTCACACAGGTGAACTTTGTCTCTAACACATTTTTCAGGTGCATTGTTTTTCTTTGGATTAAAAAAATTTTTTTTCCTAATACTTACCAGATTTAGACAAAAAAAGGCATGTAGAGCTGAAGATGGACCAGGCTTTGCTGCTCATCCATAATGAACTACTTGGGACGCACTTGACTGTCTACTGGAATTCTGAACGCTGTTATCATGTAGGTATAGTGTCCGTGCTCCCTATTTTGTTCACTTTGGGGATAGTTTGATATATCCTTGATGCTCTCATACCTGCAGCCCTTCACGTGTTAACTTCAGTTCTGTAGGTAAGGAAACACAGAGGCGATATAATCAGAAGAAATATAATCAGGGAGAATGCCTAGCAGTGAGCAACAGTTGTCTGTCTTTTCCACTACCCATTTTTTAAAAATCCCAGCTCTCAGTGATGAGCAAAACTGATGGAGCATGTTTTATGTTATCCCTTTGCCTGATGCATACCCCCCTTGCTGGGCCAGAGAAGGGAGCGAGACACCTGGATATGCTTCAGGGTCAAGGGCAGTGAGGACAGTGGGGAGGTTCGTGTTGAGGCAGAGTGGCGGGTATTCCAGGGATCTGCCTCTCTGATGGTAAAGAATTTGTTTTATCTGAAGGTCTTACTTCTAGGCTAGCCCTTCTTTGCTTTTTAAGGACGAGGCTGTTCTTCCACGTAGAATAAAGTCTTCTTTATTCTGAAATAAAATTGAGAGCTTCAACGCGCCACCTTTAGAGGAGGTATTTGAATGTGTAGGGTACCCTAGCATGGGTATCAGCTGAAAAGGTGATGGAGAAATGCGTGATATTTCCTTTGCTTGATTAAACCCATTGAAAGCTCTGTAATGTGAAACAGAAAATCTGTAATGTTAAAAAATGCAGCTTATGACAAAAGATTTATTTAGTCTATAGGAAGGGCCTAAAAAAAAAAAAAAAACAAAACTGAAAAATTAACAATAGCTGAATTAAAAAGCTACAAGAGTCATAAAAATTCAGGGAATGAGCAAAATGTCTTCTAAACAGACTTAATAAAGGTATAAAATCTTTGGAAGATATAATATACTTATATTTATATATAATATACTTATTGTATGTATTTATATGTAATATACTTAATTATATATTTATTTTAAAAAACAATATAATTTATATCAATTACATGTAAAAAGATAAAACAAGCTTTGAAAGCAGCCTAAAAACTCACAATTTTAATGTTTGATGGAATATAATGCAGTCAATAAAATTATAAATATGCAAATTGGGTAGAATTGTGGAAATTTGTTAAAAAAACAATAGAATGCAATATTCTACCTAATGTATGCTGTATTTGTTTATTATGTGAAAAATGTACCTATGAATAAAGGCTGAATAGTTCCATAACAACACATAGTTACATAGGCAAATTTTACCTAAGTTATTAAAATTTAAGGGTTTTTTTCATAAGTGTGAAAGAGAAGTTATTTCATGACCTTCAGTTGAATGTTCATGTCCTCCAGCAACCGCAGACTTTCCAGCCATTCTAACTGCGCTGGTGCTTTTTTACAGTGCTTGCCTCAGGCCCTGGTGAATGTTTCTGGGAGTGGAAAACGTGGGAAGCCTAGCATCGCAGCTGTGGCTGTGAGCACCCAGCACGGATCCATCCTGCAACTTAATGACACGGTGGAAGAGAAGGAAGTTTGTAGGTTTGTACCTGCTTTGCTGTGACCTGCGAAGTCTATACTGTTTTCTCCACTTTTCTTCTTATTTGGTTTCTAGCTTTTTTTCCCTTCAAAATATTTTCCTGTATCTTTCCTGGTCTGCACCCAGGGATGCCTGTCACTCTGCATCCAACTCCTTTTTTTCCTAATCTAATCATTTTTCTTAATTTTTACCTAATCTTTATAGGCTGGAATACAAATTTGGTGAATTTGGAAACTATTCTCTGTCGGTCAAGCACGTCAATAATGGAGTCAGCGAAATTGCTTGTGACCTAGTCATCAATAAGAATCCAGTTGACAGTAATCTTCGTATGTATTATATGCTCTTTGTTGATTTTTTAAATTTGCATTTTCAGATGTTTTAGTTTTTGAGTACTGTTTGCAGCACTTTGTGTAATTTAAAACTTGGACTATAGGTTATCTATCTCCTAGTTATGGTGTATTTAAAATGTGTTTACTGTGTCTTTAGTATTTAAAGTACCAAGAAGATTATGTGATGTATAAAAAAATTATTATCAACATAGTCTCATAGTTGTTTAATTATGAAGCATAAATAAGCCAAAAAAGTTAGTGCAGTAGAAAGAAACTAGAAGTAGAGCAATCGACTGTCAAGCATCTTTCCTTGTTTTTGGATTTAGGGTAGAGTATTTCCTGCATGTGTCTTACATTGACAGTCCAGAGGTCCCAGAAAATGTCACTCTGAGCCCTCCATTAGATAATATAATAAGTCCCTAGGGCATTAGTAAGTCCCATTTACAGTGAAGCTATTGAAGACTGTGGGTCATAGCAAAAGAATGCTAGAGCCAGTATGAAAGAGCCAATGTGGGACAATTTAAGTATTAAAAAGAATAATGAATGCAACTGATGGAAACCCAATGAGTTAATTGTAAAACTAAAAAGAGCAAGGCCCTTCTCCCCAAACAAACACTAAAACAACACTGTGGTTGCCTTTGGAGGCAACAGGACACCTGATGTTAACTACTATGACTTAAAATTGTCAGTTGAAAGGAAGGATTTAAGCCTGTATCCTGTTTTTCCTGTTTTAACTATATTTTAGGATAACTAAATGGTCTTAGCTGATGAGGGTAAATTCTTTAGAGAAGAATTCCAGTTAGTAAATGGCGGAGTGGCAGAATATTTCACAACCCCTAATGAAATAATTGCTTTAGGCAAAAAAATCATGGCCCTGGCTGGGTAGCTCAGTTGGTTGGAGCATCACCCCATACCCTGAAAGGTGGCATGTTCGATTCCTGGTCGAGCACGTACCTAGATGGCGGGTTTGATCCCCTTTGGGGCGCGTACAGGAGGCAGCTTATTGATGTTTCTCTCTCACATCGATGTTTCTCTCTCTCTTCCTCTCTCCCTAAAAATCAATAAAAACATATTCTTGGGTGAGGATTTAAAAAAAAAATCATGAGTGGGTGATACCATCAGATGAAACGGGAGCCTTACGGGGAGGGTCAGGTTCCACCAGCTGAGCACAGCGTCGGGCACACAGTCAGTCTCAGGAGGCTGATGCGTCGCAATGGGAAGGACGCAGACCACCTGTGAAACATTCTTTCCAAAAACGTACTTTTTTGGTCAAGCCTTTGCAGCTACTTTTGCACGTACAGAGCGTTTGAAGGATAGAAGAACAAGTTCAATGACACCACGAGGAAGCATAGTGACAGACCTAGAACCTGAGACATACTCATGACGACAGCTGACCTGGTGTTTAAATCAAGTCTTGGCTGCTTATGACTAAATGAGGCTAAAGAGACAAAAGCAAACAAATGCAAGATGCAGACCTCGTTTGGAGCCTGATTTGAACATGCTAACTACAAAAAACAGCCAGGGAGTTATTGCTGATTTTGTATGACATTGTGGTTATATCACAAAGGTCCATTTTAAAGAAACTTTTAATTCTGAAATAGTTTTATACTTCTAGAAACAGTACAGTTATTGAAACCAGGAACTTGACATTGATAAAGTGCTGTTAACTGGTCTACAGACTTTAAAGTTTTCTCCAGTTGTTTCTTCTAATTGTTTCCTGGTCCAGGATCCAATCCAGGATCCCATGGTGCGTTTAATTGTCCGGCCCCTTACCCTTCTCTAATCTAGGACGGCTCCTCAGCCTTTCCTTGTCTTTCATGACCTTGACACTTTTGAAGAGGACTGGCCAGTTAGTTTTTTATTTGCATTTTTGATACATTACTACAGAAGTAATGTTGTGCCCATCTCGGTGGGTCATGTCAGGAGCTACGTGATACTGATACGTCTTTTACAGGACCATTGCTTTAGCAATATGACTGGAGATGTAGGGGTAAAGTGACGTGGTGTCTGAGATTTGCTTAAAAACACTTCAGGCCAAAAAAAAGTGCAGAGGGGAGAATGGTAATAGATAAAGCAAGAGTAACAATATTTCGATAATTCTAGAATTTAGGTGATGGGTATATGTGGGTTTATTGTACAAGTCTCTGTATTTTTGTGTATGTTTGGTATTTTTCATAATGAAAATTAACGCTCCCCTTATGAAGTATTCTCAGTTGTTTATAGGAAATTTAGCGTAAGAATATAGGCTTTTCCTTCATTTGTTTTGATATTTTTTTTCATTTTTTTAAATTTACAGATTAAATGTAATAACGTGACAACTGTGAGTCTTATGATGACATTTTGGGGAATAACATGCTTTCTGTTATTTTTATAGCCGTGTGTATTGCGTTCCTTGTTGGTCTGGCTGTCATCATTGCTGTGTGCTTTCTGAGGTTCTTGTTGAGGTAAGCACCATTGGGGAAAGTAGAATATAGAAAAAATACATCCAGAAAGGGTAGTTTGACACACCCAATGACCATTGTTCTTTGCTGAAAGGAATACTTCCTGTGTCCACCACGCCCTGTAGGCGTTAGGGATTCAATGTAGCGTAAGAGATGATCCCTGACTTCAGGGAAATGATGGTCTAGTTCTAATGGATCTTTGCCTTCAATCCTCCCAAATGACTGAGAAAGTAGAAGCACATGCTTGAGAAATAATTTCCTGAAAGAATCTCACATCCTGTTTCACAGGGAGTAGAAGTGGGCTGTGATGATTTTAGGAGGTGACTGCCACGCTGGACTTTGCTTCCCTTCTGTCTGGCCCTGAGCTCTGAGGCAATCTCTAGTCCAGCCTCCCAGCTCCTGCTGGCCCGGGCATCTGGCAGCAACCTGAGGAAATTCTTCACTTAACAGCGATTTTGATGAGACTGAATTAGTAGACTACAAAAGAAAAAGCAAGTCACATAGATCCAGGCCTGCCAAGTCACCTTTCAGAGGAAAGTTCTGGTGTGTTTTGAAAGGAGTAAGATTGATTTTTCACGTGCTCAGCCTGTTAGGGCCTCAGGAAGGACCACGGGATTTAATTGGTGAGCTATATACAGATTGGAAAAAAGAGAATCTAACCTTGAACGGGGCTAGCATGGGGGAACCCTGCAGCTTTGGGGAGGTTATGCACACTGACCCTCTGCCTTTGGACATCCTCGAAATAACAACATGTGGGACGAACCTGACTGTGTATGGGGATCAAAGAATGACTTGCTGCTCAGAAGCAACTGTGTAGCCTAACATTTTTTTTAGGGACAGAGCACGATCCTAGCAGAGGCATTTCATTTCTGTGAATTAAGGTGTTGTCATTATTTAGATAAGATGCAAATATTAGGATTTGCATCTTATCCGAATTTATTAGGATTTCCTCCCCACGCTTTTAATGTGAATGTATCTATTACATCACTTCCTAAAGTAGTTGGTAGCTGCTATCAAGCTCTTGCACAAAGGGAGGAAACACCGCCTCACCCCACTGTTACTGAAACTCCCCTCGCAGGGGTCTGCCTTTGCAGCCGCAGGCAGAATGCTGGTGTTGGCAAAGCCAGAGCCCCTTGTCCTTGCCCGTCACTCTCCAGCATGCCCTTGAAAGTCTGGGGAAGTTCAGGTTTGTCTGAACCAGAAAAGAACCTGAAAAAGTAGCAAGAGTACAGCTTCCCTCCTCCTTTCACCTGGAGAACAAGCATGGACAAGAAAATTAAGTGCTTTTTAAAAATTTTAATTGTAAAATATTTTAATTTCTCCTTTTCACCCTTCCTTAGGTGTCTCTATTTTATAGTTTTTCATGTAATGGTGAGGTTATCAGTGCTGAATAAACTAGAAATAAGAGTTGAGTTGTGGGGGGGGGGAAAGAAATTAAAGATATATTCATTGGATATATGGATCATGTTTGGAGATTGATTTGAATAATTAAACTGTAAGAAAAAACTTATGAGGGAAATTGAACTGGCTATTTGATAATATTAAGGAATTATTGATAATATTTTAGAATGTGTAATAAAGGTACTACAGTTAAGTTTAAAAATCAAAAAGTTCTTAACTTTTAGAGATATATACTGAAGTATTTATGGATGAAATGATACGAAGCCTGGGATTCTTTACAATTAAAGGGATAGTGTGTGGGAGTGTAGAGGAGGTAAGACTGACCATGTGTAGATGCTTGTTGGAGCTGAGATTTATTATACTAGTTCATCTACTTCTGCATATGCTTGAAACTTTCTGTGATAAAAAAGGAAAGAGTTCTGTGCATTGGATAATCACATGTGGAAAGTTTATGTACAATGTGGGAAGTAGAAATCTCACTATAAAGAAAAACCAGTTAATATACTTATCTTGTGTTAATCATGTAAATCAGTTTAATTTCATCTGGATATCTTTTTGAATTGAAGTACCCTTCTAGAAAAAAAGAACCCAATATATTAACTACTTGAATACTCCAGAGTTACTTTCAAACTTTCTCAGAATGCCTACGTGTGCTTTTATTTAGTGGTAATTAAATCTGTGTAATGGGTTTTTGCTTTTTGTTTTCAATAGTTTATATTCATATTTCTTTGTATGCACAGAGGCCACATTCTTGCTATCTTAATAGCTGTATCTCACCCTGTTACACAGCTGTCATATACTGTGTTTAGTCATTTCCATATTGGGTGTATTTGTTTGTTTGAAATTTTTTGCTATTCCAATTTTAATAGTATTATTAATAAGAATGCTAGCCACAGGGAACAATAATCTCATTAAACTCTCACAACAACTCTTGAATGAAGGCTTTATCTTTATTCCTATTTTTATTGATGAGGAAACTATGCTGTAAGAGTTGAGCATTTAAAAATACTGCTGTTATAAACTTCGATTTCTACTTTTGTTTCATTAAAAAGTTAAAATGTTTAATTCTTTGACTTGTGTGGAGCATAAACTTTAAATTAATTTTCATGTTAATTAATTAATATGATATCCAGTCATTTTGAAAATTCTGCCAAAGAAAATAAATGAACTGAGCCTTTTATTTATTTACAGTTTGGATGACTTTAATAATTGGATTTCTAAAGCAATAAATTCTCGGGAAACTGATCGCCTCATCAACTCTGTGAGTTATTAGAATGCATCATGTGTCGTCTGGGTGGTTTTCTGGGTTTGGAATTTACAATTTCCTATTTAATCGTCTTCAGTCTCTGGTTTAATTAATCTTATTTATGTTGTGGAAGACCAGATTGTGTGACCCCTGTTCTCAATACAGAGCAGCCTTCTCAGCTTCAGTGAGGCTGGACTCCGGGCTGCCTTCCGCTGCACGAGGTGGAGATGTTTTCACTTTGCAGGCAGCACTGTTGAATCAGTCCAGTTACGTAGAGAGTGTCACTATTAAAACAAAAGAGACACCAGTATTGAATCTGTAAGTGCGATGGCCTACTGAGATGACTAAGCATATTGCCGTGTTAATAAATTCATTACGGACATACGTCTGTCCACTTACGGACACACTTGTTTGTACACTTATACCAGATGCACATGGGGCCAGTTCTTTGTGCTCGGGTATCAGCATGGGCATTGCAAGCTCAGCAGAAGGCACAAAATCAAGTAAAGCGAAAAACCAGGCCTCCAGATGGGGTCTTTACAAATGCAAGTTGAAGCATTGTTCAGAACAGCAATCTTTAGCCTTCCGCCCTGTTCATCTCTCCCTAAACCTTAGAAAGGTGGAATTCCTCCCCAGCACTGACTCGCCCTGTCCTCCTTCTCTCTGAAGGAGCTGGGCTCTCCAAGCAGGGCCGGCCTGTTCGGCGACGACGCCCAGCCCGAAGTGTGGCGTCCGTGTGCGGTGCCTCCCCGCCTCCGCTCCGTGGACACGTTCAGGGGGTACGTGGGGCCCTTGTAACTCGGTGGGCGTGGGTAGTCTCAGACTACATGTTGACACATAAACACACTCTTAAGTTAAGGCCTTTTATGTATCTTTTACTTTCTAGGCTAGAAAGGATTTCTTGCTATAAAAATAGAGCAGCAGCCTCTCCTTACTTGAAAGCCGGCGTGATGGCCAATGCACTGTGTTGCTAGAGAGGAGCAGTGGGGCAAGCCAGACCAGTTTCCACTGCTCTGTAGGTTCTGCTGAGTTAAGGTCATATGCATTTGGGCAAGTAGCTGTGCATGGGGCCCCCACTTCCACCTGCACCCCCATGTCCGGTCAGCAGCTTGACAGATGAGAAGACGCGTCAGTCTAGAAACGAAACACCAGCGTGGGAAGAGTCAGTCCTCAGCCTTCACCGCCACTAGCAGAACAGCTAGAATGTCAGGCCTTCTTCATAACAAATCCACAGCGTCATATAGTACAGTGTTAGCATTTTATAGTCCTGGTAGAAGAATGAAGGCCAGGACCAAACTTTGAAAATAAAGTATAAAACTATATAGCTGAAAATAAATATATAGGTATCAGGTCTTCCATTGCTACTCACTGGAGTCTTTTCAACTCCAGTGATAACCTTCTAACCCTGTCCCAGCCTCACCAGAGCTCTGAGTGCTCCTGGTATGTATATTTGAAGCCAGGTAATAATAACAAAAATGATAAAAACAACAATTGCTAACAGTTTTGAGTTCTCACTATGTGCCAGGCACTGTTCTAACTTGTCTTAATTTATTTACTCTTTCAGCAATCCTATGAGGTATATACTTTTAATATGCCAATTTCACAGACGAAGAAATTGAGCCACAGAGTTAAGTTACTTGCCCAAAGTCATTCTGGGACTGAGGATTTGATTCTAGGCAATTGGGCTCCAGAGTCCCCACAAATTACCCCATGAACATACTAAAGTCTTCGTTCCCTGCGTTCTACAGAATTCGCAGCAAACTAGCATATCCAGAATCAGTTTTATTGTATTTCTCTTTGTAATTCTCACTGCCACTTTTGGAGATAAAACGTTCACAGGTAGATAGGAACTAACATTTATTAAGTGCCTAAAATTGCCAGGCACTGGTTAGGTGCTCTGACGTGCACTATTCTTAAAAGCCCCGGCGTTTCCTGTGTGAGGTAGGTTTCCTCTTGTACAGAGAAGCACACTGAGGCCCCTGATGAATGTCTTGCCCAAGGTCTTAACTGCTCAGACGAAAGAAGGATCCAAGATTTGAACCCTCAGCTCTGACCGTAGTGACCGTATGCCTTCTACTACATTCTTTAACTTGAGACACCTAAATAATTAGCAGAACATTGAGAGATTGGGAATGTTTTGCTTTTTTTTTAAGTTACACGGTTTACTGTCAATGTAAATTTTTCTTAAGACTTTATTGAATTCGAAATGTTGGCAACATAGGGGCATTGGCGTAGGGTCCTAATTGTAGCGATTAGCAGTAATCATTCCTCGCTCTGTAAGTGTCCTCTTGTGTCACGACTGCGCCTTGTGACTGTAAGTGTGCCTCTGGCAGTCGGGCCGCTCCTTGTCACATGTGCCAGCCCTGACAGTGTGCTCCTCCTTGCTTTACAGGATAGCTCTCATCCTCATGGTCTTCGTTAATTACGGAGGAGGGAAATATTGGTACTTCAAGCATGCGAGTTGGAATGGTGAGTTATTTCCTAAAGGTGGCATTGCTTAAGTAGGACCCCTGCAAAGAGCTGTGGGCAGGAGAGTCACTAAGCACCCCCAGGAGCCAGAGACGAGGTCCCAGCAGTCTCCTTGCGGCTGCTGAGCTCCTGTCCCCATAGAATGACATTTAGATCATTTTGTTGTTTATTTCGTGGTCTGTGGCCCTATAATGCTTCACTGTGATAACACATAGACTCCAGAGGTCTCTGCTGCAGGACTGTGGACTCTCCAAAAGATGTTAAGAACTTAGTTGTGAATGATCCTTGTGTCTGGATATGCCTTTCAATACAGCCATGTACACGCCTCCCAAGACTTGTGTTCCTCCTTGGGTGCCATTGACCTGAGGTTGGTCTGAGTGGTGCCGAGTGATGGCTGTGCATCTGCTTTGGTTGGTTTAAGAATGGATTTTGAATAGCACTGCGTAAGGAAACAAACTTGTCCACAAACTAGTTTTGTTCTCTCCTGGGCCGAGTTATGTTCTTTGGCAATGCTCTAGGCCCAGGGACTGGTTGCAGGGTCCCCAGGGAGTGCCCGTGGGTTACTTCACAGTGTTTTCCTTCTAGATTTTGGAGTATTCACATCCCAGAGCCCTTTTCCTTACTCTTCGTGTTTGTGTTCCTCTACAGGACTGACGGTGGCCGACCTTGTATTCCCGTGGTGAGTTAGCCTACCACCAGCTCCCCGTAGGTCATCTCCAATTTTTCCCTTTCGGCTGATGCTAGAGCCTTTCTCTGAGACCAGCCTTGAGTTCTGGCACAGGCCTGTGTTACTCACAGGTCTATGTTACCCACGAGCTCCTTCCAAAAGTTGTGTTACTGAACAATTCTTAAATTTGGCATAGTGCTTATCTAAGACATATGGGTATAAAAGTGAGTGATTTCAGAGGGAACGTTTGGTTAGTGTAGATGTGAAATGCAATGATAAATTCTTGTAGGAAATGATAAATTCTGAAAATGTAAATACCACTAATCCTGAAATCAGAATAAAGTGAAAGAAATGCAGTATACTGGTATTGGGGAATTCTGGTAAGTCTGTACAGGGCGATGATATTCTAAAGTAAAATGTGGATTAACAATGGAGAACCAAACACTGTCTTCACTCCTCTGTGGCTGTTAATCTTCTTGAGGGACCCTGACTTCCTGCACAAGGTGGAACCTGTGTCTTTGCTGTGACACCTTGAGTGACTTGGCTCTGTCATTAGGAGGTGGTCCTGGCTATTGGTTGATGTATTTGGTCCCTTGTGTTTCATCACTAATATGAGCTCAGGGCTTTTGGGGGTTGGAGTTCTTTTTTAAAATGGGTTTGGGTAGGAGGAACTTTTACAAGCCTACAGACATGGTAATTATTTACATATATTCCCTGTGAGGCTTCCTGCAGAAAAGTGCCTTGCTTCCTGGTCCTAGGGGCTTTTGTCTGATTAGCTGACCCCCCAAAAGGAAGCCAGGGGACACCGAGGAGTACAGCAAGAGCAAACTCATCTGTTTACCCTTCCCCAAATAATTAGAGAAATTACTATTCTGACTTTTTTTAAAAGGTAATTTAGTAAGGTAAAAGAAAGGAAAGAAAAAGAGATGTGTGGCTCAGAGAAAATCAGAAAACAAAGCTTTCATTTTTCTTTCAGGAGCAAGAGGGAAGTTAGAAATGGTTGGAGTGTGTGGTTCGTTTCTCCAGGACTTGGAGGGCATGCTAGTGAATATTGAGCTGTTTGGATTATAGCATCTCCATCAACATTTCTCCCTGATAATTAAGTGGGACAGTTGTTCTTGGAAATTGCACTTAGTTCTGAAGAATTTCCTCTAAGACAGGACTCAAAGGCACACAAATGTTACAGCCCAGCAGGGCTACATTCTGATGTTTCCTCCACTATTAACCGGATGTCCTTTCAGTAATTGGCTACTTTAAAAAATCATGTGTTGCCTCTCTTATGCAGTAGATTATAAAATATTAATGATAGATAGACAAAAAAAATTGGAAATGTCCACCTAGTAATAGCTGGTGGTTGTTTTTTTAGGTTTGTATTTATTATGGGATCTTCAATTTTTCTGTCAATGACTTCCATACTGCAGCGGGGATGTTCAAAGATCAGGTTGCTGGGGAAAGTTGCGTGGAGGAGTTTCCTGTTAATCTGCATAGGAATTATCATCGTGAACCCCAATTATTGCCTTGGTCCATGTAAGTATTTTCCCTGCTCTGTTTGTATATATTCACGTTAAAACACGGAAACTACATGTCGTAATTTGAAAGAAGTGTAATTCCTCCATCTCAGGTACCTACAAAATGAACAGTTATTAGAAAGTATGTACAGTATAGTGCTTGTATAGCTTCAGGCATTACTCTTGTTCCATTGGACTTTTAGACCTGGGAGGGGCCTCCAAGACCACCCAAACCCATCTCCTGGCATTAGGGATTGAAGTGCTCTCTCCAGATCATCGAAGTGTAGGGAGGGGCAGAGTGGGGACCAGACCAGGCCACCTGCTTCTCAGACCCTGCCCTCTGGCCACTTTGCTTTCAGTAACTTTCATAGTAAGGCTATTGTGTGGTGGTTCAAAAATTCACCTTTGTCACCCACCACCTGTATGCCCGCTGGGTTCCTGGGAAAGAATGACACCTTTGTCATTGTTTTCGCGGTGTGAGTGAGGTAGGAAAGCTGAAGGAAGGATGCAAGTCCTGTGTTTGGGGCCCAGTATCAGAACTGAGGGAGGCGGTGGTCACTATCCTCAAGGGGCATTAGCAAAAGTGGACACAAATATCTAGACACTAGCCAAATGAACCCCAGGCCAGAAGCATTAAGACTTCAGGCATTAAGAGAAGGCAGAGGTCACTTTTAGTTGGTGTCACATAAAAGTTGATTGATTGGCAGGTCTCCAGCAGTGGGCCCCTGCTCACAGGAGGACACATTGTAGGGTTCATTGTAGGACTACTCTTCCAGCGATACAGCCCGGTAGCCAGTAGGGTAGGGAGAGCCTGTCGGTGGATTGTGAGTTGAAGCCACAATCTCATGAGAAAGCGCCAGGAGATGAATTTCAGGGCCAAGGGCAGTCCTTGCTGCTTCCCTACACCCGAGGACAACACTTTTGTTCTCAGCCCAGCCTCCCAGCAGGCCAGCTTCCTGCCGTGAGTTTGAGCCCATGTTTGCCAACCATAAGTAATATTTCCATCTCTGAGAGCTGAAAGAAGACACACTCAGGTGCCATATAGATGTGTCTTCCCCCCTTAGAAGAAAGTAATATTGTCTTGGGTTAGATGAGAGTGCTGGCTGACCTTCCCCTACCTTGCACCTCCTGCAGTGTCTTGGGATAAGGTGCGGATCCCCGGTGTGCTCCAGCGGCTGGGGGTGACTTACTTTGTGGTGGCCGTGGTAGAGCTCCTCTTTGCAAAGCCTGTGCCTGAAAGCTGTGCCTCGGTGAGAAACCCTTTTTTTTTTTTTTAAAGGGAGGGGTGGGGGGAATATCACTATAGCTTTTAGAACTTTATTTCTTAGTGCAGTACTGACTTCAGTAGATTCTGATGCTATTAGTTAAATACATTCTTTCTTCCTTCAATTAGTTATTTTTATTTAGTTTTTATATCAGTCATTTTTTAAATTAATTTTTAAAGAGAGCAAGGTAGAGAGAGAGAAACATCGATTTGCTGTTCCACTTATTTATGAATTCATTGGTTGCTTCTTGTAGGTGCCCTGTCTGGGGATTGAACCTGAAACCTTGATGTATCAGGGTGACATTCTAACCAACTTGAGCTACTTGGCCAGGGCTGTCAGTCAGTTTGTTTTATTGTGGTAAAAAAACACATGAGATCTACCCTCTTAACACATTTTTAAGTGTCCAGTAATCAGAAGTATTTGGATGGTGTTAAAATAATATCACCATTGTCTAGATTGCTGGTTCAGTCTCCCTCAACTTCCTTGTGATATAAGATGTATTTTTTAAAGACCTTATATTACATATCAGTATCTATAAAAAGGCTGCAAGGGTCCAGCTTGGAGAGAAAGTGCCAAGCTAGAGTGTGGGAGGTTGACTGTGTCCTTGGCTGTTTTTTCATTGTAAGAAGTACATGAGTCGCTTCTTTTGTGATTACTTTCTGTCTTACTATAAATTGCTGAGTTTGCCTAGGTAACAGCTGTTTTTTCCCCCTAATGGAGGTAAAAATCCTGGTGGAAATGTTTAAACCCTTCCATTCAGGGTCCTTCTTAAAAATAAATTAATAAAGCTGTATTTGTTTTCTAGCTTCTTTCTGTACATGTAACTAACAGATTCATCGTCAAATCCCAAATTCTCTTGGTTCTTCCTGCAATGATTGCTCAGTTACATGTTTTTGAGTTGTGTTTAGTCACTATTGGTTTATCTCCTCTGCCCCTCTGTGGTCTTTCTGTACCGTCTGCTATAGGTTTCCTTAAAGTGAAGTGAGACTAGACATGTCCAGGTAAACATGGTCTTGGTTAGCTGCATGTGTGACCCAAGGGACTGTGGAGGCTCATCCAGGGTCCATCATGGGCCATCACGATGGAGCAAGGGACTGGGTGAGGCACCAAGAATAGGTGGGCTGCACCCTCTTTCCTTCAACCAGAACATCTCCAAAGGTTTATATTTCATTTTCCTTTTAAAAAATTTTTTTTAACTTCATTCTTTAGAACAGCTTTATTGAGATATATTTCACAAACCAACCATAAAACTCACATGTTTGATGTGTACAGTTTAGTGGTATTTAGTGGTATTCAGAGTTGCGCACTCATCACCACTGTCTCGTTCTAGAACACGTTCACTACCCCCAAAGAAACCCTGCACTCATGACTAGCCACTCTCTTCCTCCACAAGTCCTCCAACCCCAGGCGACTCGTAACCTACTTTCTGTCTCTATAGATTTGCCTGTTTTGGATGTTTCATAGAGATGGAATTATACAATATGTGGCTTTTTGTGTCTGGCTTCTTTCACTTAGCATGCTGTTTTTCAAGGTGTGTCCGTGCTGTGCACGTATTAGTCCTTGACGCCTTCGTGAGTAGCATTCCATTTTGTGAATGTACCACATTTTGTATCCATTCATCAGTTGATGGACACTTGACTTATTTCCACTTTTTGCCTTTTATGCATTTTAATGATTCTGTATGCATTTGTGTAGAAGTTTTTGTGCGAACATCTGTTTTCAATTTTCTTGGGTTATGGGAGTGGAATGGTCCGCTGATTTATTTTTCACTAATGTTTTACTGTGGTATTTCATAGAGAGGAAACATCTAGGTCACACAATACATATGAAATAAACACGCACATATTTGCATTACTGCAATAAAGGCCAAGAGAAGAATCAGGGAATTTTGCAAGTACACACTCTGCATATTCTTTCCTGTTCTACTTGGATTTAGTGTGTGTTTTTTAATGCCCCTCGCTCAGGAGAGAAGATGCTCTTTTCTTCAAGACATCACCTCTAGCTGGCCCCAGTGGCTTTTCATTCTGATGCTGGAAAGCATTTGGCTGGCCTTGACTTTCTTCTTACCTGTTCCTGGATGCCCCACGTAAGTGACCCGTGTAGGTAATCCCTTCGTGCATGTCATTTTCTGCCATATCAAACCTTCTGGGCCCTATTTTCAGATTTCCCAAGTGCAAGGAATCCCCTTTCACTCTCTCTTCTCCGTTGAGCCCACTTTATGTTGGGAGAAGAGTTTGGTGTGTGTGTGTTCAGAGGAGTGTCCCTGTGAGGCTTTCTTCAGGGTCAGTTTGAATGGAAGTTGCTGAGCCTGAACACGTGGGGGGCAGTCAAGTCAAAAGAGCATTGGTGGGAGTGCCTGGTGCTAGAGGGGGTCCCAGGCTTGTACATGTTTGAGGCTCTTTGTTGGGCTGCGTACACAGCCAATATGCCCTCTTATCCCCCCTGGAGTCTTGTCAATGAAGTACACGGTCTCACCTCCCCAGTGGCTATCTCGGTCCGGGCGGCATTGGAGATCTGGGGAAGTATCCAAATTGCACTGGAGGAGCTGCTGGCTACATCGACCGCTTGCTTCTGGGAGATGATCATATTTATCAGCATCCTTCCTCGGCTGTGAGTGACACGGGCTTGTACTTAGAACTGGACAGTTAGGAGCTCCGGAGGGAAGGAAAGGGCTGGCCAACTTTCAACTGTGTCCGTTTAATTAACTATGATGGGAACTAATTTTTATTTGAAAAAGTGACTTTAGTGACTTCCATGTTCATTATGGGGCAGTACGTAAACATTACTTTGGATTGTAAAATGAGACTACACTGTGTCAAACACATAGCATAGTGCTTTTCTGTGTGTCTCAGGTCAGGTTTCCTGGCAGCAGACTCTGAGACCGAGTCCATGTGCAGGAGGTTCATCAGGCAGTCCTGTGGGGATCCACACGTGGTGGGGAGCGAAGGGCAGAGGGAGCAGATGAACTGCATCATGGTCACACGAAGGCCTTAGCTGATCTCATGGTGGGCAGGGTGGGCTGGGGTGGCCCTTCAGTTGTTCTGAATTGAGGGGAGGGATCTGGCCCTTATGTCCCTGCTTGGATGTGGACTGCCCCCAGCAGGGGGTGTGACTCCCAGAGAGGCAGCTCTCTTCAATCAAGGACAAATCCAGAAGAGGGACTTGGCTGAGAGCTATTGGCCACTAATAAACTTATAGCAGCTGGGGAGTGAAGGTTTAGTCCTGAAAGGGGTGGGGAGGGGATGTCTGGATGGTGCACTGCAGCATCCACTACACTGTATGTTTCCAGATTTCTACAGTTTCTACAATAGCTTGTTTTATAATAAAACAATACAGGTAGACGCATTAGTTGTTTTTTGTCTTAAAAGAAGATAGGAAGCTGTTGATGTTACTTGAAAATTGTTTGGAACTGGTTAGGGATGTGTCATGTTGCTGAGCCACCTGCAGTTGAAGTGGGTGCGCTGGAATGTGGCTCGTCCTTGTCTCTGTGTCCCTTCTGAAGTGTCACTCATGCACTGTCTTGGCCAGAAGTGTCCTGCTTATAATCTCCACAAGTTGGCAATGAATTTCTGCAGTGAAAACAAAGCATATTAAATATTGGAGCGTATTGAAGTTTGTATTTGGTCTGTGAGTTGTTTGGATGCATTTTGGTGGCCAGGGAGTGAGTGCTGCCTCCTTGCTCTGTTTTGCTCAGGTGCTTTATCACACCACGGTGGCCTACGACCCTGAAGGAATCCTGGGGACAATCAACTCCATTGTGATGGCATTTTTAGGAGTTCAGGTATGTGCTCATTTCATTAGGAAACATTTTTCTGACAGTTTGTAATTATCGATTCGTTGCTAACTCAAAAACTGTTCCTTTAAAGTAATTGGAAGCATATCATCTGTGTATTAAAGGTCTAAAAAACTTTTTTTTTTGACATTGTCAAAACTGGAAGTTGCTAAGATTCTGCACATTCAAGTCATTGGGTATAATTTCTATATTCTCAAGAGAAACTCTTATTATTCATATGGTTTATCTTAGAAACGAAGGCATAGCAGTTTCTGGTAAAAGATTCCCTGCTAAACTGTGCAGAGGATTTGGAACTAGTGATGTTGGGATGTCACAGTGTCACTTGTCACATTTCTTTTGTGCACATTTTTCATGGTTTCAGGTTATGCATGTTTTATGGCCAAGTCAGAACAGATTATTCTTGTTTTGTTTTGCATATTAGAATTCTGAATAGTCTAGCTTTTTCTTCCTGAAATTCTCCTCATTGGTATTTGAAATTGTTATTTGAAGGGTGCTAACTGGGAGAGGAAAAATGTGCAAAGCGACACTAATTGAACTCTTGTGACAGTGAAAATATTCTGTATCTATGCTCTCCATGTGGCTACTGAGGACTTGAACTGTGGCTAGTATGACTAAGGAGCTGAATTTTAAATTTTGTTTAATTAAAAATATATTTTTTACTGATTTTTTTTTTTTTTTTTTAGAGAGGAAGGGAGATGGAGAGAGAGAGAAACATCAATGTGAGAGCAAAACATTGATCGGCTGCCTCCTGCACATCCCCTACTGGGGATTGAGACTGAAACCCGGGCATGTGACCTGACTAGGAATCGAACCAGCAACCTTTTGGTGCACGGAACAGCACCCAACCAGCTGAGCCACACCAGCCAGGGCTAAACTTTATTTAATTGAAATTAAATTAAATTAAATTAATTAATTAAATTAAATTAAATTAATTAAATTATTAAATTAAATCCAGGCGATCAGGGTTCGATTCCCGGTCAGGGCACATGCCCCGGTTGCGGGCTGCAGCCGATCAATGACTCTCTCATCATTGACGTTTCTATCTCTCTCCCTCTCCTTTCCTCTCTCTGAAATCAATAAAGATATATTTTAAAAAAAAAATAAATTAAATTTTAAGTAGTCACATGTGGCTAGTGGCTTCTGTATTGGATAGGGCAGTCTAAAGCATACACTACAATTTGGTGGTTAAATAATGTCATATTTAGAAATACTGCCTTTATGGCACTTTATAGTTTACCTTGTGCTTTCATTTAATTCCTACACATGCTCTCCAGGTAATTCTGCACCTGCGGGAGCAGCCAGTGTAGGAGTTAAGAGTGCACACCTGGCAAGCCCTGCCTGGGTTTGAGCCCAGCTCTGCCGCTTGGTGGCTGGGTAGCCCCAGGCATGTTCCTTGACCCCTCTGTGCTTCAGTAGCACCTACTTCATAAAGGTGTTGAGTGGATTAAATAACTTAATTCATGTAAAGTTCTAAGAACTGGCGCAGAGAAAATGTTTATAAAATTTAGCTATTATAAATAACACTTTCTTATAGTTTCATATTTTCCGAAATTCCTTATTGGGGAATTTTATGTGAAGGTCAGATTTTACTGGTTTTAAAATGTTCCCTGCCTCCAGTTACACCTTGTCCCTGTCTGTCTGCTTTTTTTTTTTTTTT